GTGTTTTTTGATCAATTGCACTTTCTTAAGTTTAAGTAAGTGGAATGAAAACCTTTTATGTTTTTTTATTTGAGTTTGATTTAAAGTAAAATTTCAAAGTGTTTTTAAACTATAAAAATTTGAGATAATATGTGTTTAATTCAAATCATAGAAATCAAATACACTTTCTTATTCAAATCAAATTGAACAGATGTAAAATTGGAATTTTCTGACCATTTGTTATGAACAATTTTTTACACATGATTCGAATCAATTTCTTACTGGTCATCTCTGGTTGATTTGATTTTGTTCAAAATTAGCACATAATTCAAATCACATAATTTTCATCATTTTCCAATTGGACCTGTTGCATTTGATTCAAATCAATTTTTACACATGATTCCAATCATGAGGTCCTTGATTCAAATCATACTTTCCTCATGATTCGAATCAACTGACAAATGTTCAAAATTTGTTTTTTATTTTATTCCACTTCACTTGTTTATTAGATTTAAATCATTAATTGCTCTTTATCTCAGCGCTTAATCAATTGACTTTTTCAACCTTTTTCAACGCTTAATCTCAAGCGCATATACAACATTTTTGTCATCATTTTTCACATAACATTTTATCATTTGATCATAATTTTCATTATGATTTAGTGAAAAATCAATTTCCTCTGTTTTGAAAGATCAAAGTCTTGCAACGAAATTCTTGTATCTTCAAGTTCAATTTGATTCAGATCTTGATAACGAGAAATTTGTAATTATATGAAGGAGGTACGTCCTTGAAACTAACTGTTCTTGTCTCAAGAATTTCCTTAGTAGTGAATGTGTGAAAGGCTACGAATAAGGAAGAGTTCTTCTCAAGTATTTGGATAATTCATTGCTCAAGGAATCGGTATGATCAAGCGGTTGATTGCTACACAAGAAGGCTTGGAGCAAATTGGTGATATTGGAAGATTCAAGAAACATGAATTGAGTAAAGATTATGTAGAAAAGTTTCGCAGTTGTTTGTATACAAGTCAAGATCCAGATAGAAGATTTTAATTTTCTAGATTGTATTAAGGATTAGTGATTGTATGAACTCTTGAAAGTATTTGTCAAATAACAAGGAACTATGCAGACTCCAATAGGAAACCATTTAAGAGTGCACATAGGGAAAGCGGGGATAAACAACAAAGCACTATAAATCTCGATGTCATCTCTCTCTCTCTCTCTCTCTCTCTCTCTCTCTCTCTCTCTCTCTCTCTCTCTCTCTCTCTCTCTCTCTCTCTCTCTCTCTCTCTCTCTCTCTCTCTCTCTCTCTCTCTCTCACACACACACACACACACACATACTTGCATTTAATTTCGTAGTGTTTACATGCTTAGGGATTTCAATTCAATCATAGTTTGTTGTTGATTGATCAATATCAATTTATTACATAAACATTAGGTTTTTTTGAATTGGATACCTAGTTAAGCTAGATTGGGATTAATTTTCTGAGAAAAAAAATTGACATTAGAATTCTATTCATAGAATCATTATGTAAACACTTCTTGTGAATTACACAATCGATTAAATCTAATACCTAGTGTTTCATCATATTCATCTTTTGTGTTTATGAAACTATCTAGTGTTAACTTGATCAAAATTTGAATAATATATTTTTCACATTTTCGCATCAAACCTTCAGCTCGCAATTATTTTTGAAAACACTTTGATTTGTAAACGGAGGTTGAATTTTAATTGGGTTTATTCACATACTCTAGACCGTTTTCTACTCCCATATTCACACCCAACAATTGCCATCAAGTGTTGGTCTTTTGATTGTATCTAATCGACATCTGAAAGTTGTGAATATGACAGAAGATGAAGATCCTAAGGGGGTGTATAATAGAGCACACGTTTTCAAAAGAAAAAATTATGCTTATTGTAAATTGGTCATGTACGTACACTTGTTATCGGTTGACAAAAATATGTGATGTGTTGTCACTAAGGGACCATATATTCCTAAGGGCAATGAGGATGTTGTCAAACATCCAAAAGATTGGGATGATGCTGAAACCATAAAAGGTTTCATATGATTTGAAAGGGAGGAACATACTTATTTACGCGTTAAGCGCTAAAGTGTTATATTCGATTTCACATCATACGAGTGCTAAAGGTATGTGAGACGCTCTCCAAACTCTCTATGAGGGAATAAATCACGTTAATGATTCTAAAATCAATATGTTTACGTAGGAGGTTGAACTATTTCATATGGAACCTAGAGAATTTGTGGATTCCAGTAATCTAGATTCCTCCATTTGATTAACAAACTGCGTAACTTGGGTAAAACCTTTTCCAACAAAGATTGTACTAACAAAATACTGAGATCTATATGCAGGGAGTGACAAACAAAAGTCACTGCTATAAAATAATAAAATGATCCTAATACTTTGGATATTAAAAAATTGTTTGGAAACTTAGTTGAGCATGAAATAGCTAAAACGACTCGCCAATAGCAAAGTAGAGTCGAAAAAGAAAGAGAAAGGTAAAGAAGAGAAACAAGATCTTTCTTTGAAAGTTTTGTCTTTTAAAGGAGAGAAGTCAAAGGAAGAAAGTGACAACTTTGACAAAGAAGTTTCCAAAAAGGAAGAAATTGGTTTATTCGCTAGACGCTACAATAGATATCTAAATAGAAACAAGCTCAAGCATACAACAAGCGTCTAGTGAATTTCAAAAATACTCATTCACCCAAGAAAGATCACAAGAAAGGTGATGATGATATCATTTGTTATAAATGTCGTAAATTTGGGCACTATAGAACCACATATCCAACTCTCACTAAACATCATAAAAGTAAAGACAAGGATTTCTATAAGACAAAGGGAAAGAGTTCCAAAGGCTGTAGAGCCTACATCATGTAGGAAGAAGAGGATGAGAGCTCCTCATCTGATTCTTGCTCAAGTTCAGATGATGAGTGTGCTAAATTTTGCTTGATGACACATAAGAAAGGTGAAACTTCAAAGGTATATACTTCTGATTCCGGAAATGAGTATTCTTATAGTGAATTGTCAAATGCATTCAATGAATATATGTTGATTATATAAAAGCTTTTAAGAAAAGTTATCTTCAAAAAGAAATGATTTTAAAACTTGAAGAGGATATAAATAATCTTGATCATGCTTTATAATCTCTTAAGGAAGTGCATACATATCTAATTAAGGAGTTTGAACCTCACATATCCAATTCTTGCAATCTTGCATGCTTTGTTGTTTCCTAGCAGCACTGATCCTTCATCTTAATCACACAAGTCCTCAAAAAATTATTTGTTTGAAGTCATGTGTCAAGTGCACCTTGAATCTATAATCCACTCCTTGTTTGAATTACTGCTAGACACTACCAGGACATCAGGAAATTCATAATCATCCTGAACAAAGACTGCATTTCCATCATCATTTATTTCACCATAGTTATTCAATCTATCAGGACACACATTTCTTGTATGCCTTATTTCTTACAGTGGTAACACCTAATAGCAAGAGCATCACCACCATAATATATTTGTTGAAACTTATCCTTCTTCTTCTCAAATTTTCCATCTTTCATCGGGTATTTTCCTTTTATAGCTAAACCTTCACTAACTGATGATGGCTTGTACTCCTTCCTTTCATTCAAGTCTTTAGAGTGCAAAGTCGATTGAACTTCTTCAAATGTCAGAAACTCTCTTCCATACAATTATTTGAAGTGAGCATGTGATCTTGGCTAAGCACACAACAAAACTAACGCTTGATCTTCATAATCGATTTTGACATCTATGTTCTCCAAGTTAAGAATCAACTTGTTGAACATATCCAGCCGCTCAGTCAAGACTTTATCTTCACTCATCTTGAATGAGTACAAGACTTGTTTCAAATAGAGTCGATTTACCAAAGATTTGGTCATGTGCAAACCTTCAAGTTTTGCCCATACTACTGTTGTGGTTTTCTCCTTTGAGACCTGCCTGAAAATCTTATCACCAAGGCTTAGGACGATAACACTATAATCTTTTCGATCATGGTTGTCTTATCTCTTTTTGTCAAAGTTGCACCCATGTTTTCAGATTCTTTCAACGCTTCTAGCAAATCCTATTGAACAAGAAGAGCTCGCATTTTCAATCGCCATAATCCAAATTCATTTACACCTGTGAACTTCTCAATTATATACTTTGTTGACGACATTTTTCTTACACACTCGCCAGTTTGTTAAGATTCAATGTCAACATGTGCTTGATAAAATGTCAATGAAAAGGAAAATTGAAGAATAAAAAGGATAAGAATTCAGAAATTCGTCAAAAATACTTTATTTCATTCTTGTGGTTTATTCAATTAGACAAACGAAATTGTTTTTACAATTGAATACTAACTTCTTTATATATATATATATATATATATATATATATATATATATATATATATATATATATATATATATATATATATATATATATATATATATATATATATATATATATATATATATAAGTGAATACTTAGGGGTATGATGTGAATATTTAGGGATATCACTTAGTGAATATTTAGGGGTAGGGGTATATCATACACCCTGACAAATATATCACTTTTAGTTAGATGGTTGGTGTTTGGTCTAACCATAAACTTTATCTAAATTATCACATTATTATGAATTCAAAATGTCTTCCGGCGTAAGTGTGAAACTTAGCTAACAAACTTACCCTTCAATCAATATGAAGGTTAAATTTTTACTATTTCAAAAACATTTTCGAGTTTTTTTAAGGGTGAGTCTTCAATTATGACGGTGTGAAGAGCATTCTCCGAATTTAAAATTACGGACTAAAGAATTATGAATAGGACTAAAGTTAGCAAGCCAGATCCATTAGTTTTCATTTCCACTGATTCAAGCTTGGCTGTAACCGCCACGTTGGTAGGTGTTAGAGAACCGCAACCAACACCTGTTCCGATGCTCCACTCACTGCAACAGTGGAAGAATAAGACGGAGGAAAATCATTGCTAGCTTAAAGAAGACTAGTATTGAGGAATGGAAACCAAAAACGAAGGAAATGCAGTTCGAATTCGAATTGAGAATCCATTTGCTTTCAAAGTTGGTCAAGTATTTACTGGTTTTGGAATCGGTTGTGGCGTCGGAATCGGCGTTGGACGCCCTTTAAATCTAGGTATTTTCCTCCTCTTCTCTCGCAATTTCACATTATGGACTTGAAAAATTTCTTCAACCCCAAAACTCCTCAAAATTCTCCTACTCACAAACCTAGTATATCTTATTATCTTTATCGCGTTTTCTCTTAATCAGCTTCAATTTTTGAAACTTAATGATTTATTGAGCAACATTACTGAAATTGTTATCTTATTATGAATTTGTTGCAGCTGCAATACCTATGTTGAATCAAGTAATGAGTGCTACTAGGGGTGCTACTGATGCATTTTCTGGTGTTAGCAGGCATGTAAATACTTCTGTAAGTAAGACAATTATCCTCAGTAGCATCGCTACCTCTGAAAAAATGTGTTAGTGTCGGTTTCAAACCGACACTAACACTTGTAATTACGTTTAATTTATTCATTTTTTATTACCGTTGAGGTTTGAGGTGTTAGTGTCAGGGTTGTGTTTCCGGTGTTCGTGCTTCATAGCAATTATCACAATTATGCTTTTATTCTTGTTTGTTCCCTTGCTTTTGATGAAATACTTGTTTCTCATATACATATGTTGGTACAGTTGAGGAAGTTTGGAGCTAAAAATATTGAAGTGGGTGTTGGATGTGGAGTTGGTTTTGGTCATGGTTTTGGAGCTGGTATGTCATATTTTCTATTCTTTGCCGATGTTCTAGCGTTTTGTGATTTTTGTATCGTTAAATTGTTGTAGTAACCGATAAAATATCATATTGAATTCAATGATAAGAAATCGTTTTTCTTGTCTTTGCTTCTATTAGATGAATATGTTGCTAGTTTGATTTTCTCTTGTTATATTCTTGACATTATTTTTGGTTAGGTATTTAATCTGGTAATTGTTAGTTGGGATCTGTTTAATTATCAATCTATCTATTGTGGCACTATTAGTGGGATAAGACTTGGTTGTTGTTGTTGTTATTATTGTATATATACGGGTGGTTCTGTTTTGATTATTTCAGTGGGCATAGACTCTCCATGCCATGTTAACATTCTTCGGTTGATAGCTTGGTTTTGATATTTATTATGGCAGGACTTGCTGTGAAACCTGGGGTGTTGAATCAAATTCAATCTTGCCTTGTAGTATGTGAAACTTCTCTCATTTGAAAAGTATTGTCTTTTAATATCTTCCTTTATATTCCTTTTTGTATCGGATCTTTAATGTTTGAATACTTTAATGTTCTAGGTAACAATGACAAAGATGATGATGAAGTTTGGACTTACTCCCAGTTTACCATTTAGTCCGGGTGCATTTCCCTCATCCTTACAAAGCGTCACAAGCACAGTCAGTACAGGAAGCATGATGCCGTTAGTAACTAAATCGACTGATCAATTATCTCAAGGTCTAGCGGGATCTCAACCAATGAACATTGGTTTGGCTTTTGATAAAACTGCAATAAAAGACACTGCAGTTGACACTACATATGGCAGCCGAACCGAGAAGGTTCTTAACAACTTTTTGCAAAATCCACTGTTGAAGGGAGAAGGAGGAGCTTCCGGGGAAGTTGTATGCTCTCATTACTCACTTTCATACATGACAATTAAATATTGATGCATTTTTCTTCTAATCATTAGAGCATGGGGAGTTTATTTTCACATATAGAATTGAAAATGCTTTCTAATTTTAGAACTTCCGCATACACTTAATGCTTCACAAATGGATGATCAAAGAATTTGCATTTGGTATTGAGAAAGACTTTGGACAATAAACAATGACTAAATACTTTTTGTTTATTTATATACTCTTCCGTGATTAACTGAGGTATTTGAATACATCACTTTTGGACAATATGATCTTCTTAAAAGTCTTGCTCTTATTTATGAAATGATTTTAATTACTATAAACTATAAAGTGTTCAGCATGACAAAATTATCACCATTTATATTACTCCTTCCTTTCTTCCACTTTGTGAGTTTTATCTTTAGTGATTCAAATGTTACATGAAATTCTGATTCTAATAACTAGATTCATTGTAGGCTGGACGCTTGATCACAGAGAACAAAATACTTCAGATGGTAATTTTCTTCTTCTAATTAGTATTGATTATGTGACCAAGATATAAACCACCTTTTATAATATATACTAAATAGTTAAGTACTGATAAACTCGGTATCTTATAACCAGAGTACATGCTTCTTGTTGAAATTTTCAATGTTTTTTTGTTTCTATTATTATTAAATTTTTTCTATTGTTGTAGGTTTTGAAACACCAACAAATCATTGAAGAACTTGTTGAGGAAAATGAGAAGCTTAGGCAGATACTAGTGGAAGAGCTGAAAGTACCATCGAGCAAACTGGAATCGGGTTCTTCAGGTAGAATTAGAAATAAGTTGCCATGTACTGATTGTTTTGACTGCCGTAGAAAACAAAGAAGAAAGTAGTTTCAAAATAACAATACTGATATACTCATTGAACTGTTCGCACGTTGACGCTTAAAGGGACACCCCTTAAGAGTGATACCCCTTAGTTTTTTTGTCTTTTTACTTACATATTACTGGAGTGAAAATAGTATAAGCAAAAATGTTTATCGCCTCTTCTTCTCTCCCTTCCCTTATATTAAAATTGAAATTTTATCCTACCATCCCACACTCTCCCCTCTCCCGTAATGCGACCCCACACTCACATATTTTCATTGACAAAAATGTCTTTATCAAATAGCAACACACTCCAAGCACTACTCAGGTACCTGGTCATCTGCACCCTCCAAAGAGCACAAACGCAACAAACAAAAAAAGGGTGAGAACTACATTCAATAAATAAGCGGTGAAATGCACATGCTAAGGAGTAGTTACACACCACACCTACAATCATACACATGCAACGCACATACACATGCCATCTCAATCACTCGACATTAATAGCCCATAATCAAATACAAATATGTAATGTGACTCACTGACTCGACACAATGCATGTGGTACCAACACAAACACATACAGTTCACCCTAGAATCCGATTCCCGTCAGAATCCGGATAAGTCGTATACGTTCCTCTGAACTACAACTTATCTCCACAACGACTTCCACATGAAGTCCGGATGAACTAGGCACCCATCATGGATTTCCACCTAGCCATCTCCACAAGACACATGACATAAAATGCATGACAACCCCATTATGCAATTACAATAATAATTTTAAGCATAATTTAATCAATGATCCACACGAGCCATCCACTCACTGTAATCCTCTCGGGAATTACCATCATCACACCAGATCGTCCACACCGGATGGTCCTGACCCACACATATCAATCACACCCCTAAGGGAAAAAAACGTAATTTTTCACATTCTCTAATTAAATTCATTACTAATCTTCCTTAGTTTCATTTTAGTCATATTAATCCTACCGATTAAACGGAATTGCGTTCCAAAAAAAATCTGGGCAGAAATCGCGAAAATGGGAAAAAGTCATCCCAGGCTTGCCCATACGCGTACTGCCCTGCCTGTTACGCGTATTGCCTTGCTGTCAGGCCCACCATACGCGTATTGCCTTGCTGTCAGGCCCACCATACGCGTATTGCCCTGCTTGTTACGCGTATTGCCTTGTTGTCAGGCCCACCATACGCGTATTGCCTTACCTGTTACGCGTATTGCCCTATCTGGTACGCGTATTGCCTTGCTGTCAGGCCAACCATACGCGTATTGCCCTATCTGGTACGCGTATTGCCCTGTCCCATACGCGTATCACCAGAAGTGCTGCCAAAAACTCAGATTTCATCCCTTTCACGAATCCTCACTCAATACTCTTCATTTTACCACTCAACTCAACACAAAATTCAGTTTTTTGTTAATCGTTCCTCTCTACCTCCAATATACTTCATCTATTAATTATTCTCCTAAGGTTTTTATCATGCAAGGTTTAATTTCGTTAACCCTCTAACCCTTATTTTTTAGATCGGTTATTCATCATAATTCTATTACAGCATCAAGAAATTTTCACACGAATTGCATATCAGTCCCATAATCATACACACAAACATCATACAATGATCATTCAACAATAACAGAAATTACAGGGAATCCATCATGCTATGAAAATCAGATAAAAGAAGAGAAAAATTCATGAAACCTATAAGAGAAAGTGCCTCTCACTACCCTCTCATGTTAATTCACCCCATATTGAAATTCATTCTCCCCCCTTACCTTGGATTTGAGCTCTTTCTTTGCAACAATGGACGAATCTTGGTTCTTCTGCCCTATCTCTCCTTTCTCTATCTTTTCCTTTTTCACGATTAGTAATTGATTCCCCACTAAACCACTTCTAATCCCCCTTAATTAGATTTTTAGTTTTATTATTCCAATTAATAATAATAATAATAATAATAACAATAATAATAATAATAATAATAATAATAACCACTACCATCCCATTAATATTATTATTAATAGCATAAAATAATAATACTAAGGAGCATAATATTTTTATTATTATCATTAATCATTAATATTATTTATTATAGGTCCACTTTACCCCAACTAAGGTCAACTCTCATCCTCGGCCCTAACATCATACCCTTATTAAGGACATCACAACTAATACACGCACAATAAAGTATAAAATGACTAAATAATTTAAATGGAGTGTTACAATAGCATTCTCCTCTTTTGAGGCCGAGTACATTGCGGCTTCGTTGTGTACATGTCAAGCTATGTGGCTCATAAATCTATTAAAAAAGTTGGGTAGCAATGAGGGTGAGACTACTATACTTATGGTTGATAATGTTTCTGCAATAAACCTTGCGAAAAATCCGATTGCACACGGAAGAAGCATTAATCATATAAAGATGCGGTTTCATTATTTGAGGGGGTTAATGAGTGAATGCAAATTATGATTGAAATATTGTCGAAACGAAGATCAAGTTGCGGATTTGTTGATCAATGATGTAACAAATGAGGTGTTCAAGAGGTTGAAGAAAAGTTTGAGCATGATGGACTTGTAACAACTGAAATGAGGTGGTGTGTTGAAAATGTTGGTGCAAAGATAGAATAATGAAAATAGGGAAATATTCTATTAAAGAGAATGACGGCAGAAGAAACAGGATTAAGAGTTACAATGATTGTCACCCTATTTATAAGCTAAAACTAGGGTTACTAAAATAAGATAAAATACTAAAATACCCTCTAACAAACTTATGGGCTTAAGAAAATAATATAATAAAATATGAATTATTACTAATACCATCCCTTAATTCATATTCCATCAAAACTTGTAACACCAATTCCATCCCTTAATCTGAGAAATTGGTCAGTCTTGATAGCTTTCGTCAGAACATCTGCCAACTGCTTCTGAGTGCTGCAGTGTACAACTTCTAACACTCCACTCTGAACTTGATGTCTCAGAAAATGATACTTGGTCTCAATATGCTTGCTTCTCCCATGCAGCACTGGGTTTCTGGCAAGGTTGATTGCAGACTTGTTGTCAATCATCAACTTCAGAGGTTTGTCTACTTTAATCTTCAGATCCTGCAACAGATTCAGAATGCACACAGCTTGGCATGCAGTAACAGCACCTGCAATGTATTCAGCTTCACAGGTTGACAACGCCACAACAGGTTGCTTCTTGGAACACCAAGAAATAGGACCTCCCAGAAATTTGAACAAGTACCCAGATGTACTTCTTCTGTCAACTCTGTCTCCACACCAATCCGAGTCTGAATAACTCAGAAGTTCTGACTCATTATTTCCTCCAGAGGGAAATAACACTCCATACTTCAGAGTTCCTTTGATATAACTCAGAATCCTGACAGCAGCTTGGTAATGGGACCACTTAGGTTTACTCATGAACCTACTAACCATCCCAACTGAGTAGCAAATATCAGGTCTGGTATTGCACAGATACCTCAGAGAACCAACCAACTGTTTGAAGGTTGTAGCATCCACATCCTTTCCTTCAGAGTCTGAATCCAGTTTCTGATTTGTATCAGAAGGTGTGACAGCCATCTTACAATTCTTCAGTTCAAATCTCTTCAGAAGTTCTAATTCATACTTGAGCTGATGCAAAATGATACCTTTCTCAGAATATCTGAACTCCATCCCTAGAAAGTATGTCATTTTGCCTAGATCAGTCATTTCAAATTCATTCATTAGAACCTTCTTGAACTTGGCTATCTCATGTTCAGAACTTCCAGTCAATAGTATATCATCAACATATAAACATACCAGAGTCATATTGCCTTCAGAAGTATGCTGAACATAGACACCGTACTCCATCTCACATTTCTGAAAGCCTTGCTTCTTGAAAAATGAATCAATCTTCTGATTCCAAGCTCTGGGCGCTTGTTTCAATCCATATAGAGCTTTGTATAATCTGTACACCATCCCTTCCTGATTCTTTTCCACAAATCCAGGAGGTTGTGACACGTAAACTTCTTCTTCTAATGGACCATTCAGAAATGCAGATTTTACATCTAAATGCATCAGAGGCCAATTCCTGTTAGCAGCTATTGCAATCACCATTCTGATTGTTTCATGTCTTGCTACAGGTGCAAACACTTCAGAATAATCCAGCCCAGGTTTCTGTAGAAATCCTCTGGCTACCAACCTTGCTTTATGTTTGCCAATTGAGCCATCTGGCTTTAACTTCTGCTTGAAAACCCATCTGACGCTGATGGCTTTCTTGTCTTTTGGAAGTTCTGTCAGCTTCCAAGTCTTGTTTCTCTCTATAGCATCAAGTTCTTCTTTCATGGCCTTCAGCCAGAGCTTCTGCTTAAGAGCCTCCTCTGTACTTATAGGTTCAGAGTCTACTAACATGGCACACTGAATAACTTCTCCTTCAGAGTCTACTTCAGTGTCTTGCAGCATGTCAAATTCTGCAAATCTTCTGGGAACGCTTCTCATTCTTTGTGGTCTCTGAACTTGTTCAGAGTCTTGAGCTTCAGAGTTTCTAGCTTCAGATGATTGACCTCCAGAGCTTTGACCATCTTCAGAGTCTGGCATATTTCCAGAGTCTGAATTGCCACCAAGATCTGGATTGCCATCAGAGTCTGAATCATCAGAGTCTGGGTCATCTGGGTCACCTTCATCTTCTGAGTCTTCTTCAGAGTTTGAATCAGTATCAGAGTCAGAGTCAATATCAGGGTTTACTTCAACTTCAGAAATTCTTAACTTTGGCCTTTCTTCAGAGGTTCTAACATCAGAATCAGATTGAGACTTATCCCAATTCCAAACTTCTGATTCCTTCACAATCACATCTCTGCTGAATTCAATTTTATTGGTTTCTGGACAATAGAGCTTGTATGCACCTGTACTGTGGTACCCTATCAGAATCATCACTTTGCTTCTATCATCCAGCTTCTGTCTTCTGGCTTCTGGAACATGTTTATAGCAAACAAAACCAAACACCTTCAGATGACTAACACTTTGCTTGTCTCCAGTCCACTTCTGCATAGGAACTATTTCCTTCAACTTCTTCGTAGGACATCTGTTGAGTACATACGTTGCAGTGGCAACAGCTTCTCCCCAGAGCTTCTGAGGAAGCTTCTTCTCCTTTAGCATGCTTCTCACCATATCAAGCAAAGTACGGTTTCTTCTTTCAGCAAGACCATTGTGTTGAGGGGTATAAGGAGCAGTAACCTCATGCTCAATTCCATTCTCCTCACAGAACTTCTGGAACTCTTTGGAGTTATACTCACCTCCACCATCAGTTCTAAGAATCTTCAACTTCTGACCACTCTGATTCTCAGCCTTCATTCTGAACTTCTTGAATTCATCAAACACCTCGTGTTTAAACTTAATAAGGGATACCCATGTCATTCTTGTGAATTCATCAACAAATAACACAAAATATTTATTCCCTCCAATTGATGCTACTGGAAATGGACCACACACATCAGAGTGTACAACTCCCAAGGCATGTTTTGCTCTTGGAGCAACTTCTGATGCAAATGGCAATCTTGGTTGTTTTCCTTCCATGCAAACTTTGCATGACTTTTCAGGCTTCTTAATTGCAGGAATTCCATGTACCAATTTCTTTGAATTCAGATGTTGTAAGCTTCTGAAATTCAAATGACCGAATCTTCTGTGCCACAGCTCACTCTCCTTCTCAGTACTTGTTGCACTAAGACACTCTGAGTCTGCAGTTCTGACATTCACCTTGAATGTTCTATTCCTTCCCTGTTCTGACTCCATAATCAACTTCTGATTACAGTCATACAGCTTCAGAAGATTGTCCTTCATGGTAACTGAGAAACCTTTCTCAATTAATTGTCCCACACTCATCAGATTGCTTCTGATGCCAGGTACATACCACACATTCTGAATCAATGCTATTTTCCCATTGTTCAGAGTCACTCTGACATTTCCCATACCTTCTGCATTAAGATATTTGTCATCAGCACATCTGATCTTTGTTCTCTTTTCAGAGTCAAAGTCAACCAGCCATTTCTTGTTTCCAGTAAGATGATTTGAACAGCCAGTGTCCATATACCACCAGTCTGTCAGATCATCAGATTCAGAGGCCATCAATAGCACAGATTCGTCATCAGAACTTCTGGCTATATTTGCTTCTTCTGATTTCTTCTCCTTGTTTGACCAACAATCTCTAGCAAAGTGACCAAACTTCTTACAACAGTAACATTGGATCTTCTTCTTGTCATACTTCTCTTTTCCCTTCTGAGCATTCTTTTGTCTATCAGAGGTTGAGGTTTCTGACTTCTGACCACCATCAGATCTTCTCTTGGCTTCTGACTGCTTCTGATACCTCCTATCAGAAGTTGCTTTCAGAGCCTGCTGCTCTACTTCCCTTTCAGAAGTTCTCTCAGTCAAACGCAACTCTTGCGCTTCTAGACTGCTCTGCAGCTCTTCAATTCTCATGGTGCTCAGATCTTTGGAATGTTCTATTGCTACCTCAATGTAATCAAATTGAGGAGTAAGGGATCTCAATACCTTCTCCATGATTGTTTCTTCAGAAAGAGTTTCTCCACACGCCTTCATCTCATTAGTGATCAGAATCACTCTGGAGATGTATTCAGAAACTTTCTCATTATTCTTCATGTTGAGATTCTCATATTGCTTTCTCAAGGACTGAAGCTTCACCTTCTTCACTGATGCGTCACCACCATAACATCTCACCAGAGTGTCCCATGCAACCTTTGCTGTTGTAGAGTCTGCAATCTTCTCAAACACGTTTACATCCACACATTGATGAATGAAGAACAATGCTTTCTGATCCTTCTTCCTTACTTCCTTCTGCGCGTTTTTCTGTTCATCGGTTGCATCTGCTGCTACTGGAACATAACCATCAGTGACAAGATCTAGAACATCTTGAGCACCAAATAGTACACGCATTTGGATCATCCAACGATTCCAGTTTTTACCATCAAATACTGGAAGTTTGGTGTTCATGTTGCCGTTTCCGTTCATCTTCTACTTTGCACAATACACTCAGATTTCTCACACAGTGTTTCCCAACCCACAGAATAAAATTCTGATCAGATTTTGTTCAAGATTCAACACGAATCTAAGAATCAAAATCAAACACACAAGACCTCACGTTCACTCGTGTTTCCCGTGTTTCCCAATGAATCAGAACCGGAGCTCTAGATACCAATTGTTGGTGCAAAGATAGAATAATGAAAATAGGGAAATATTCTATTAAAGAGAATGACGGCAGAAGAAACAGGATTAAGAGTTACAATGATTGTCACCCTATTTATAAGCTAAAACTAGGGTTACTAAAATAAGATAAAATACTAAAATACCCTCTAACAAACTTATGGGCTTAAGAAAATAATATAATAAAATATGAATTATTACTAATAGAAAAGCTATTTTTGACATTTCAGTTGTGGTAACCGGTTACCGCTTTGAGCATAACCGGTTACGACATTGAAAAAGCTAGAAAATTTGAAGTATCAGGCTCGTAACCAGTTACGGAATTTAGCGTAATCGATTACGCAAACATTTTTTGGTTTTTTCAATTTTTCTTAGTTTCAGCTTATTTTAATAAGTTGTTTATGTTATTTTCAATTATTTTGTACTTGATGTATAAACCATCTTGTAAGTTACCATTTGAAAGTAAACTACCATTTGAAAGTAACGTAAATTATTCTTCTAACCCTTAATTACTTTCTCTCTTTTTATTTTTCTCTGTCTCAATTTCTTAACTTCATTTTCTCCAAATTAGTTCAATTTTTCATTAATTTACCATTAAAGGTTATGTATGTTCTTGAAAAAAATATTTCTACACATGAACTGTTTTGAAATTATTATTCTGAAATAGAAAAAAGAAAAACACAACTGGAATCTCTTTTTTTCAATACAATAAAACATTTAATAAAATATCACATTGTGGAAATTGGAAATATAAATATCGAATGCTGTTATATTAAGAATCTGAATCATGTCACTGTTTTTGGAATTTAAGTTCTGGTACTTAACAGATTGAAAAAGATAATAATAAATTCAAATTTTGTTTCCTTAGATTGTATTTTAGAAGCAAAACATATTTTAATCCTCTCATGGTAACATTTTAATCAATTAGTGGCAATGGGATTTAGTTTGAACTTTTTTTTGGGGATTAACATGTAAGATAGTATTCTTATCTTAAAACACTAGAAATTCTTACAACTTAAGTTGGGTGATAGAATCAAATGCTTTATTTGTTATTTGATGTGGTACTACAGTCTCACACTGCATATATTCTTTTCTTTTTAACTTTTGGCATACATGAATGTGTGTTGTTATAATGAGGAAAGTTTTAAGTGCTTTTATGTGAGTTGTATATAAGGATTCTTTTGTATCAAAAGTGAACGATTAGGCCAAGGATGTGCCCACCTCTTCTATTCTCCACTATCAATATTGTGCTTTCTTTAGAGAATTTCAATCAACAAAATACACTCCACACAATTCAATCAACTAAACTTAAAGAAATTGTTCTTATATGATAAACATTTTTCCCTATATGCCACATTTTTATTTGATTAAATCAATCAAACCATAACATGTGAACAATTACTAAAAAGTTATTCATGACCTTTTATTTAGTAAGCTACAAAATATGACACCAACAGATGCATACATCTGCAATGTTTGGTCACCACTGTCCTTAACAAATCAATAAGAAAAACATAGCCACTAAAATAATAGAAAATCAACATAACAAATTAAGGGAAAATTAACTATAGATAGATGTTCCTGCACAACTATCAACTGAGCTGTCTTAATAGCAAGAACATCAGATAAAAACTACATGAATGCATATCTCAGTGACTTGGTCTACTTGAAGTTGAATCACGTATCGATTTAAGAAATAAGCAGAGCAGCAGCAATGAGTGGTAGCATGAAAAAGCTGTTTCTGTGAATCACCGCGTTGCTCGGTAAGGCTACTGGATTATCAGAAAATGATTCTGCGGTGGACGGTGACGGAGTAGGTGATGGTGAATCAGGGGTAAGGGCAGGAGGGAAAGCTATTGTAGTGCTAGGAGTTGGGCTCATGATCGGGCTCTGGCTTGGACTTGGGCTTTCTGGTGGGAGTGATACGGGAGAAGGAGTGTGGGCCATGATGGGTGCAGGGGAGGGGGCTTGGGCTATGGACAATGTCACGAGAGTAAGGGACATGGTTAGCACAAGTGTGGCACGTGTGGGTGCCATTGTTACACAAGAGAGAGGAACAGAAGCAATGGAGGTATTGTTATGTGATGGATATATAGATAGATGGGTGTAGAGATTGAAAAAAAAAGTTATTATTCACTTTTGTTTTTTAATGCAATCAAAAGGTGGAAGTTACACGTATGTATGACAAAGATAAAGTTTAAGGTTGACAGGCATATATGTTGTGAGGTCCATCAGGACCAATGGAATTAGAATAAGCCATTTTAAATTATCCAAGGCATCTTGTTAGTTCTATTGTGGCAACACTAAGTTAGTTGAAATATACTTTGAATGTTTAGGCCATTATCAAGTGTATGTATTATTGGACAAGTGATTTGAAGCATAAAAAAAATAGAGGGGTTAAATTGTGGAGGTTGAAATATGATGTCCAAATATATATATATATATATTATCTTATAACTTAAACATAGAATAAATAGTGAAATATTTAAAAGAATGAAAATCAGAGAGTTGAAGATTAGAAAATGATAATGAATCAAAAAGTAAAGAGATTATAAAAGAGATTAAAGAATTTCTTTTTTTTTTTTTAGAGTTTTCACTAAATTTATTATTAGTTTTTTACATATTATGTACACAAATCTTCTTACAACTAAACAAGAGATTTTACATCGGTTAATCTTCAAATCAAACAAGAAATTTTACACTAGGATAATATTAAAATCAACAGAGCTTTTACGTCATGCTAAACTCAGGAATCAACTAGAGTTTTTATGGCTAAATTCAAAAAGCAAATGAGAGCTTTTAAAGGACTCAACTCACAAACCAAATAGAGATCTGATCTCTGACTAATCTAAAAAATTAGATAGAGCTTTTAATTGGTTTAGCTCAAGAACCAAACATTGATTTATTTCGAAGATATTACACGGGAGAAAAACCCTCCTGAATAACTTATGGAATTTCCACAACACCAAAACAACAAAAGCTTCATTGATATTTTACACTCTCATAGTGTTAAGGCAATTTTGTGAAAAAGAAAGAAATGAAATGAAGAGATTAGAAAGTAAGAAAGTATTATAAAAATATGTTTTCTAGTGTGTTTTGAAAAAAAACTCTCTATTTATAAAAATATTTTTTGCTCAAAAAGAAAAAAATCCACAGGTCTTTAAATGATCTAATCAATTAAGTCATAATGTTAATCAGTTAGAAGCTTCAAAAATATATCAATTCTAATGCTAAAAAGAAAACCTTACAACAACTATGTGTCTTATTAATCAATTAGGAGTAGTTAATCAATTAAAAAGTTTTTTTTCCTAGCTATAATCGATTGGATAAGGTCCGTAATTGATTAGGCAGAGTACGAAATCTTCATAAATGATTACGAACACTCTTGCTAAATTCCCAAGCACTTTGATGGTTTCTTTATAAGTTTTAAGGTGTTTTATCAAAAGAGAGAGGTTTGAAAACTATTTTAAGCGGGCATGTGTGTGTTGCCTTCGTAAATCGAGAATTACTCTTATATCTTTACAATACATTAATCATTCATACACAAACCAAACGAGATTTCACACTTTATCTTTTTTAAGAACTTTGAAGTTTCAAAATATCTTGCTTGATTCATTATTAATTCAACAATTCATTTAGGATTTGACTTCTTTTAACTAATGAGGCTTGATAAAGCTTCTTAATAGAAACCATAATAAGAGATTGATTAACCAGAGATCATCAGAGATTCCACTGAACACCGTTTGACATTATGTTATCTTTATTGAAATTGAATTTGACTTCTTGATGTCATACACAAAACATCTTGGTCTTGATAGAACATATTGATTACTTAATTAATGAAGATTTGACATTATAGTATTGTCATCATAAAAAAACTATATTCATAGTATTGTCATCATAAAAAAGCTATATTCAATGTCTGATTGATGCAGATAGTTGTACTTATAAGTACATATATCCACATGCATGGCCTAAGATTGTTAGATACAATTTTAGTATGTTTAGGACTTACTTGGAGTTAGAAAAACCAAAATTTCTAAGTTTTATCGCATCATGAATCAATTATATATTCATGTGAATTAATTCAAATCTTTAAATGAAACAAAAACTTGATAGGATTTAGTGTTTAAGCCATAATTTCTTTTTATTAGTAATAATTCATATTTTATTATATTACTTTCTTAAGCCCATAAGTTTGTTAGAGGGTATTTTAGTATTTTATCTTATTCTAGTAACCCTAGTTTTAGCTTATAAATAGGGTGACAATCATTGTAACTCTTAATCCTGTTTCTTCTGTCGTTATTCTCTTTAATAGAATATTTCCCTATTTTCATCATTTATTCTATCTTTGCACCAACAATTGGTATCTAGAGCTCCGGTTCAGATTCATTGGGAAACACGGGAAACACGAGTGAACGTGAGGTCTTGTGTGTTTGATTTTGATTCTTAGATTCGTGTTGAATCTTGAACAAAATCTGATCAGAATTTTATTTTGTGGGTTGGGAAACACTGTGTGAAAAATCTGAGTGTATTGTGCAAAGTAGAAGATGAACGGAAACGGCAACATGAACACCAAACTTCCAGTATTTGATGGTAAAAACTGGAATCGTTGGATGATCCAAATGCGTGTACTATTTGGTGCTCAAGATGTTCTAGATCTTGTCACTGATGGTTATGTTCCAGTAGCAGCAGATGCAACCGATGAACAGAAAAACGCGCAGAAGGAAGTAAGGAAGAAGGATCAGAAAGCATTGTTCTTCATTCATCAATGTGTGGATGTAAACGTGTTTGAGAAGATTGCAGACTCTACAACAGCAAAGGCTGCATGGGACACTCTGGTGAGATGTTATGGTGGTGACGCATCAGTGAAGAAGGTGAAGCTTCAATCCTTGAGAAAGCAATATGAGAATCTCAACATGAAGAATAATGAGAAAGTTTCTGAATACATCTCCAGAGTGATTCTGATCACTAATGAGATGAAGGCATGTGGAGAAACTCTTTCTGAAGAAACAATCATGGAGAAAGTATTGAGATCCCTTACTCCTCAATTTGATTACATTGTGGTAGCAATAGAACATTCCAAAGATCTGAGCACAATGAGAATTGAAGAGCTGCAGAGCAGTTTAGAAGCGCAAGAGTTGCGTTTGACTGAGAGAACTTCTGAAAGGGAAGTAGAGCAGCAGGCTCTGAAAGCAATTTCTGATAGGAGGTATCAGAAGCAGTCAAAAGCCAAGAGAAGATCTGATGGTGGTCAGAAGTCAGAAACCTCAACCTCTGATAGACAAAAGAATGCTCAGAAGGGAAAATAGAAGTATGACAAGAAGAAGATCCAATGTTACTGTTGTAAGAAGTTTGGTCACTTTGCTAGAGATTGTTGGTCAAACAAGGAGAAGAAATTAGAAGAAGCAAATATAGCCAGAGGCTCTGATGACGAATCTGTGCTGTTGATGGCCTCTGAATCTGATAATGTGGATCTGACAGACTGGTGGTATATGGACACTGGCTGTTCAAATCATCTTACTGGAAACAAGAAATGGCTGGTTGACTTTGACTCTGAAAAGAGAACAAAGATCAGATGTGCTGATGACAAATATCTTAATGCAGAAGGTATGGGAAATGTCAGAGTGACTCTGAACAATGGGAAAATAGCATTGATTCAGAATGTGTGGTATGTACCTGGCATCAGAAGCAATCTGATGAGTGTGGGACAAAAATTGAGAAAGGTTTCTCAGTTACCATGAAGGACAATCTTCTGAAGCTGTATGATTGTAATCAGAAGTTGATTATGGAGTCAGAACAGGGAAGGAATAGAACATTCAAGGTGAATGTCAGAACTGCAGACTCAGAGTGTCTTAGTGCAACAAGTACTGAGAAGGAGAGTGAGCTGTGGCACAGAAGATTTGGTCATTTGAATTTCAGAAGCTTACAACATCTGAATTCAAAGAAATTGGTACATGGAATTCCTGCAATTAAGAAGCCTGAAAAGTCATGCAGAGTTTGCATGGAAGGAAAACAACCAAGATTGCCATTTGCATCAGAAGCTGCTCCAAGAGCAAAACATGTCTTGGGAGTTGTACACTCTGATGTGTGTGGTCCATTTCCAGTAGCATCAATTGGAGGGAATAAATACTTTGTGTTATTTGTTGATGAATTCACAAGAATGACATGGGTATCCCTTATTAAGTTTAAACACGAGGTGTTTGATGAATTCAAGAAGTTCAGAATGAAGGCTGAGAATCAGAGTGGTCAGAAGTTGAAGATTCTTAGAACTGATGGTGGAGGTGAGTATAACTCCAAAGAGTTCCAGAAGTTCTGTGAGGAGAATGGAATTGAGCATGAGGTTACTGCTCCTTATACCCCTCAACACAATGGTCTTGCTGAAAGAAGAAACCGCACTCTGCTTGATATGGTGAGAAGCATGCTAAAGGAAAAGAAGCTTCCTCAGAAGCTCTGGGGAGAAGCTGTTGCCACTGCAACGTATGTACTCAACAGATGTCCTACGAAGAAGTTGAAGGAAATAGTTCCTATGCAGAAGTGGACTGGAGACAAGCAAAGTGTTAGTCATCTGAAGGTGTTTGGTTCTGTTTGCTATAAACATGTTCCAGAAGCCAGAAGACAGAAGCTGGATGATAGAAGCAAAGTGATGATTCTGATAGGGTACCACAGTACAGGTGCATACAAGCTCTATTGTCCAGAAACCAATAAAATTGAATTCAGCAGAGATGTGATTGTGAAGGAATCAGAAGTTTGGAATTGGGATAAGTCTCAATCTGATTCTGATGTTAGAACCTCTGAAGAAAGGTCAGAGTTAAGAATTTCTGAAGTTGAAGTAAACCCTGATATTGACTCTGACTCTGATACTGATTCAAACTCTGAAGAAGACTCAGAAGATGAAGGTGACCCAGATGACCCAGACTCTGATGATTCAGACTCTGATGGCAATCCAGATCTTGGTGGCAATTCAGACTCTGGAAATATGCCAGACTCTGAAGATGGTCAAAGCTCTGGAGGTCAATCATCTGAAGCTAGAAACT